TAACAATTACTGTTGGCCTAGAATACAATTAATTCAGCATGGGCTACAAGAGCTCCTAATAGTTTACCGAATAAATTATTAAATCGAGCATTCACGATGGACTAACAAAAATTACCCATTTATCAACCACTTATTTCTATTTATTTATGATTTAAATTGTTTATAAACACTTGCAAAACATTCTTTAAGATCAATCTTTTCTCTCTCTCTCGATTTCAAGTACTGGACATTGTAATATTGCCCATGTCTCCATCTTGTTTCAATTCATGTTCAATTAGGACTTCTAGGTATGTTTACATTCTCAAAAGACCTAATTAACTTGAAATTTGATTTATGATTTGGTCAAACCCAATTTTGACCTGATGGGGCTTGAGCTTCAATTACTTGTGTAATTGAGTCATCGTCTTACTTTGAGAGCTAAAGGGATAAAATCGAACATACATAATATAAGCCTCAATAATTAGACTCGTTCGTCACAGTTCCACGAACTATTATTGTTGGCTGAATCCATTAAAGGTCGGATACTACATCCTTGAATTACATAAAATCACATAAACTAGTTTTCCTTACATTTATATCGTTAGACTTACCAACTTTATGTCTTATCCGTCGAATATCTGATAATCAGACTTGAGCTAAAATGATTATGTTGTCCTTGCAACAATTTTTTCTTATGACCAATTCACAAACATTAAGCATCACTAACTATTGGACTCAAATTGAAATCATTCGGTAAAAAATCTAAACGGGCTCTTTAACATTTTAAATTAGGATAACGATTTTGTCACGATGCTCAATCACTACTTCCTTTACACTGAACTCTCAACTCAATTCGGCATATGACCATATTAAGTGATCTCGCTCATTGACACGTCAAATATTCTCAAGCTCGTAGATACTATTTATTATCTTACTATGAATAAAGTGAATTAAATTCTATATGGATAACCCTAGATTTTATTAATAACAAACTACGTGTTATATTTCTTATTTCTAATGCTATATTTACAAGAATAATCCAGGAATTATTAGTTAAATTTAGAAAACAAAGAAAGATCAAATCATGAGATTTTGATATACTTTTCTTGTTAAATCAAATATTAAAAAAATCAATTAATTATTTAATTTTAATAAATAATAGAGAATAAAATTTCAATATTCTATCATACCCATAAATTATTACATCTATAGAACATTATGTCACTTTGTCAATATATCACTTCAAGAAATTGAGAAAAGAAATTCATAGCATATTATCCCCTTCATAAACAACAAAAAATATCGTATTAGAGGATATGCCATTTTGACATATTAACGTAGCATTTTAAGAAATGTCACATCCCAAAAGAAAATAACAAACTCCTTTACGACAAGGGACAAATAGTTGGCCGACAATTGTTAATAATATTATTTGAAATATTAATTATTATCCAAGAAATAAGAAAATGGGGGATCTCGTGTCCAGCTTTCATTTTTTATATATCTGACCCTTATTTGATCCTCATTATTTTTAAAATATATTTTTCACTCTTTTTTTTAATTACATCTTTCAATAAAATAATATTACACGTAAATTCAAAATTTTTCTTTACTTTTTAACCACACATTTTCTGTTAATCTACTATTCCAAAATG